TTATTTCATAGCTCTACTGACAAAGTGACACTGTGTTTTAAGAGGTTTCCTTAAAGTAATTGTTTAATATTGATTTAAACTATCATTCCTATTTAAAACAAAATTCAATGTATCTGCTGTTGCATTAGAATTGTGTAGATATAGCTGGAGGTTGTAACAAGCATGTAATCTGAAAAAATTCAAGCAACATGTACTATACTATTCAAAGAGATTCATAAATCTGGGTTGTCTGTGGTGTTGGAATGAGTCTTCTGTTATCTACAGTTACAGAAAACTATTTCACTTAGTGGATTTAGTCCCAGATGTCGCCAAAGTATTTTCTGGATATGTTGAATTAAGAGAAAATATAACAGGATACCACAATAAAGATAAAAAGTAAAAGTTAAGCAAAAACAAATCTCACTGATTTTTCTTTTGAAAAAATTCTGCAGTTTACACAGTGATACATTTCTGTTCGGATGTGTAATTAGCTGTGTGTGGGGGGCGGGTAAAGCTACCCTGTGCTATTCCATCCTGAGTTTTGCACTTCAGTATTCAGAAGGCCGAACAGAAAGAATCCAAGTAAGGGCCTTATTGTACATTACATGTTGTTGCAATTCTTCATATTTTATTTTTTATAATTATTGCTGTGGGCAACAGGTTCTAGAAATGAAATTTGACTTTAAATTGTTTTATTGGTCTTAGGGTTCTAGTATTAGTAGCTAATTAAAGTAAAAATGGTTATTTGGAAAAATCATGGAATCAGGATGATGTTTTCTCTTCAGTAGAAGTGGGTTGGTATGAAGATGCCTTTGAGAGACTTCTTGGTTCTACTGTATCTCAATATTTCCTCTTAATCATTAGGCTCCACTTTAAATGAGCATCACTAGGACACTTTATTTCCATCTCCTTCTTTTCTGTTAGAGTTGTTCATCCATGTCTTGGTCTTATTGTCTTCACCTGCATCATTCTGTCAGTCCTAACTAGACTCTTAACTTTGGTTCCTTGTGCCATTTATGCTGTCTTAAAGTGTTTTAGAAAGTTTGCTTTGCCCTTGTCACTCAGCTTAGACACAGTCACAGTAAAGTTGGCAGGATGGCTTAAGCCTTCCATTGTTAACCTGATGTGTTTTGCAATTTAAACTTTCCATTCTTCCCCAATTTCACATCATTATGGTAGATGTGTTCTTGCTTCCACTCTGTACAGTGAACACCTTAGCTAGAATATGTCTATCAGTCTATCCAAATCCTGCCTTTTCTTAAAACTCTTATAACCTCCATTTCCTACACAAATATTTCTCAAAGCTACAATAACACAAGGAGATTGCGCTCTCCCAAGTCTCATCACATTTACTCTTTGCAGTATGACTTAAGTGTTTCTATGTGGTAATCTGCAAGTACCTCTGTATACTTACCACAGTCTAATAATTGTTGAGTGACTTTTGGTTTTATGTTATCTTTGTCACATTTTATTATTATGATTTTTTTCACAAGACTGAGATTCTTAACGATTGTGAGAGCTTTTCATTTCTAACTTTAGTGCCCAGTAGGAGGCTGTAGCAATTACTTGACTACTGATTATCTGAATGAATCAAATTGGATGAACTGTTTTATTGCACGTATCTATGCTGTTAGTTACCTTTGAATGTAATCATCATGTCTTAAGCACTTGGATGTCTTTAACCTGTCAATTGTTGGTTCTAATTAAACATTTACAAATCAAGATCTTATTTTATACTTCTGGTTTTCTCATGGTCTCGGGTAATGTTTTATACATACTATAAAGACAGTTGAGTTTGCCAATAGATTGATTTTTAGAGGAGATGGATGTTTAAGGGAGTGGTTCTTCATCATCTTGACCTACTCAAAATAAAGAACCAAATTAGGAAATCATATTTTACCTTGAAATTAGAGATTCATGAGGAATCCATTTTCTTGTGCAAGTATTTAAGACACAGGATGATGATGTGCAACATTTAAATTACGTCTGCTAATAAGCTTGCTTCTTTCCTCCCACTAGTGAGAGTTTTCCTTTTTCCTTTGTGCTGTGAGAAGTTCATAAAAATAAGCAAAAACATGGAGGCTTTCTCCAGCTCTAAGAAACCCACCCAGGACCATATTTTCTCTTTGAAATCGTTTTCATCGTTGTCAAAAGTTGATATTTACACTTTCTTTCCATTCAAATTCTAGCACCTCCACAGTTTGTGGTTAGGCCAAGAGATCAGATTGTTGCTCAAGGCCGGACAGTGACATTTCCCTGTGAAACTAAAGGAAACCCACAGCCAGCTGTTTTTTGGCAGAAAGAAGGCAGCCAGGTGAGTGGGGCCATAACTCCTTTTCTGACATCTCCGAACTTCTGCATCTCCTTGGTCCTCAGAGCTTGCCTTGTCTCGACTATCAATGTTGAACGTATTTTATTTCTAAGAAAGACATGTTTGTAAAGTAACTGGGTATCAATGCTCTAGTACAGCACTCTTTACTTGGCAGCCTTATTTTTTTTTTAAGATCCTGACTATAACAGAATAGAAATAAAATAGTGCAACAAAATCACCTTTAAAAGTTCATACTGCAACCTGGACAGTTATTTGAAGTTTCTGAAGGTAAAGGTCACATTGTTTTCTTGCACTGTGTTGCATGGTACAATTAAATGAACTAACACGTATAAGTCTTGGGACATGGAAAACAGACCAAGAAAATTCAGTATTAATTGTCCTAGGATCCAAGTTCAGTTCCCTTTCTTAGACAGTATAACCAAGAACTTAAACACACTTCTATTTAATAGTGGAAGAATTTTTCTTTCCATTTTCCCCTATGTAGCTCTTCATAATAGATTTAGACACGAAGTAACACATTATAAACAGAAAACGCCTATCTTGTTTTTGCTCTGCTTCTCCTGGCCAGCAAGACCTCTCAGAGTCTGTGAAAATTCAGCTGGACACATTAATTTTCTCAGGTAAAACTCGGTTCAAATTTGGACAGGTGCTTAGCTTTTTGGTTGAGGCATTAAGTAGAATTTCAAGCTTAAAATAGAAAAGAAATTGAGAGCTTTGACTAAGAACATGTCTGCACATTCCTCCTGGAACTAGGTATGTGCTTGTTTTTAACTGTATAGGCACCCTAAGGGCGGACAACCTGATGCCTCTTCCATCACAGTGTGTTGTCAGCCTAACTTCTGGAAGACTGTCTGGGGGAAATAATGGCTGCAATTGTTAAAAGTCAACAGTTGATACTGACACACTTACTCTTCTCCTATTGAAGAAATTTCATCTCTAATTTGTGGGAAGCACAGGTGGCTATGAGAAGTTAGATTAAAGGATGCCCCATTTCAGAACTATTTCATACGTTAACGCCCAAACATTTTTTTCCATCATTTAAAACGGAACTCTATCTAGAGTTCCTTGACTCTTCAGGTAAAAATTTCTTTTGGATGAAATTATAAACTGTGTTGCAAAGGAGCATGTGTTTTATTTAAAATAAGATTGGACTGATCTGTATGTTAAGACAATTTCTTATGTGTATCGATCACATGCCTAAAATAGCTCCAAGTGGTATACAAGTTAAAATGTCTTCCAATATTCTGGTCCAATGAACAGATGGTCTTTAACATAGTTATCAATGTTTTTTGGAAGAATAATTATCAAATAAATTTAAATATTCCTTCTATTATTTGACAAAGCCAATGAAATTCCAGAGATTATAATTACTAATGGTTACATAAAATTTCTTGTCAGATATTTTCATTTGATTGAATGTTTTCTTCACCAATATATCTCTGGGGGGGGGGCAGAGGGAGTGGTGCTAGAGACATGAAGAGTAAAAGTGAGGCACTTGAACAAACTGTAAATTTTCATTAAACAAATTGAGAAATTATCAAAAGAACTTTGCCTTACTGCTTCTAGTTTCCATTTTCTGTAGCTATCTATCACTACCCCTCAGTAGGAAGAGTTGTCAGCCTAATATAACAGTCCATATTCCTCAATGTATGTTGATAAGGCCAATTAACACTAATAGGATCCTCTAACTCTTCAAAGCAAAAAGAGCTCTGCCGAGTTCCTGGGTTTTCTTTGTAATCCATTGCTTTTGACTATGTCATTCACACTGGGAATATAGATGATGAGTTAAACTCAATAACATGCGATTTTCCATGTCAATGAATCATTTAGAAGGTGGAATGATATTACATTGTAGAGGAAGAGATCCTAGGGAGAATTGGTCCATCTGATAGATTAGTGCAATGTAGATTAGTGTTCTAGTGGCTAATTGTAGGAAAGTACGTACTTTGAGTTATTGTATCATTTTCAAATGGCCTTAAAATCTAAGCCCTTCTCTTTTAAATGGTTTATTTCCAAATATATTTGGATTCCACATGATATTTAATTTGTTCTCAATTATCTTTCAAATGTATGAAAATGTCTAGCCTTGCACAGCAATATAAATTTTAGAGGAGAGCAGCCACATTTTGAAATGATATTCCTGACATGCTAGTAAACATCACTCCTTTTAGAAGGCATTTAATAACATGGTAATGTTTATGTAAAGTGGGCTTATAGTGTCACACTTGAATCTAATAAAGTGGACATCCATCATGTTGCAATAAAGAGAAGAGCTTCTAATTAAAGTAGGACATCATTTGCCGGATTAAAGTCATTTAGCGTAATTGAAAAGTGTTAATACCCTATTTTATCCTCTTCCACTGGCATTACTTCAAGGGTAAAAACATTTTAAGGTGAAAATGTGTCTTGAATTGAATGTTATTACCTCCTGATTTCAACTTATTGAAACTGTTTAATTACAAACCTGGAAAATTAATTACTATATTACAAAACAGATCCCAGAGGGTTCTAATGTTCTTTTTTTTGTAAGTAAATACAACATAAAAATTGATATGTCCTTATTTTTAATCCAGCTAGAACCATTTCTCAGTTTGATTTATTATACCCACATGTTTTTCTTAATTGAACAACAGTGAAACAACATAGGTCATCCAAATTAATGTTACTGCTCTTGTAGAAGAAATTTAAAGATTTGTGATTGGCCTCTATGAGGTATATGAAAGGCTTTAATGAGGTAGGTTGAAAACTACTGTTTAAAGAAAATAATGCTAAGAAATTCTCTGAGATTACAATGCACACTCTCAGAACCATTCCATGGCCTCTTTTTATTTTGAACAATTCACTTAATCTTTCTTAGATTACACTTTTTCATAACTCTTTGAGGAGCTGCTACGGTTTGCAGACTCCATGTAACAGAGGTAGGCTATCTGTGTTTGGTCAGTCTCAGGTGTAAAGAATTCTTTCACAGTGCAAGACAAATTCAACTATTCTAAAGTATTCACACTGTTCATCAACAGTGATGTTTGACTGCTTCTTCTGAGCAGTTCAAAGAACACCTGCTTACTGTTACAGCATCCTGAAAATGTCAAAGTCACAAGAACAATATTTTACCTATTCATTTTAAATATATGGAAACTATATTTCAAAGATGATATGTAACTAGCGAAAATTAGGGGGTAAAGAACCTGATATGAAAAAATATGAACTATGCTGGTTGGTCAATGCATGTTAGCTCTGAGTATTGAAATAGTATCCCATGCCTCATAAAACTGCAAATATTATATTCAAATCAAAATTTAAAAGTCTGTTTTAAAAAAAGCAGATGTTTGCTTCTTCAGCTAGGAAATGCTGACTTTGTAACTCACATACTATGAGTTTTATACTCTTTCCTAGTCAAATGCACTGTGGTGCATGTAGTCATTTCAATACCATGTATTTTTATATCTACATGTTTTCTTTTTCCAACCATATTCCCATAATAGAAATAGTTGTTCCTAATGTAATTTTCTTCCAGAGAGAAAATAATATTGAGGAGATTATGTTTGTTTCCACAGAATCTTCTTTTCCCAAACCAACCCCAGCAGCCCAACAGTCGCTGTTCAGTGTCCCCTACTGGAGACCTCACGATTACCAACATTCAGCGTTCTGATGCCGGATATTATGTCTGCCAGGCTTTAACTGTGGCAGGAAGCATTTTAGCAAAAGCTCAACTGGAGGTTACTGATGGTAAGATATAATTATTTGATTTGACTCATGGAAATAACGATTTTTATTTCAATATACACATTAACCTTATAGAGTTTTTGATTTGTTAATTTATATCAATACTGATATATTTGATTAGGTAAAGCAGCAATTTTTTGATAGTTTCTCATCCTTCCTGATTTAGTACTAACTCTCCACCCCAACCAAAGAACATAAAAAAACCCCAAAGAACATAAAAACAACTATTTAATATGAAAATTATAGTGATACTTTATTTTAAACACAGTGACATGATTCACTATGTTTACAAGTATAACCTGTATGTCTTTATTTAGTCTTTCTGACATGACTGCTTCTAATAGATATTAACGCTTTCATTTTACTGCAGTAGAAGGAAATATCATCTTTAAATATCATCAGTCAAACAGAAATGTGATTTTAGTTAGCTAATCACATTACGACATTCTTCCAACTTTAATTATACGTTCATGATATTAATTAAATACCTTCTAAAGTACTGATGAATGCTAAAATTATTATTTTTTATTAGCACATATATACTTTGAATCTTAACTTAAGGCACTTATGTTTCTAATGAAACTTGAAAGGATTTTATTTTTCCTTGATAGTTTGTCTATTGCACTTGACAATTTAGGGGATATTGATAATGTGAGAGTTCATGAACATGAATTTTTCCAATTCTTTGATGTTTAAATTAAAACTCTTCATTTTTGTTTTATATTTGTGAGGGTATTTCTGTTATATTTGACATTTTTTGTTGTTTTTTTTTTTTTTCTTTTATTTCTAGTTTCTGAGATGTAAGAGCTTTGGTCTATGTTCTCTCGAATTCTCTTCCTTTTCCTTTTCTGTTGGTGAAATCCTTTGCTTTCTAACAATCCAGATATTCATGTAGATTAAAAGGTCACTCAGATGAATATAAAGGCAATATTTCTTAATATCTGTCCATAGCACAGCCTGATTCAGTGCAATGTCAGGAGTGAGGGTAAGCAGCACAGACAGGCAAAGTCTGTGGAGATGTTGAGCCGCTAAGGGCTGTACCTGCTGATGCTGCAGAGATTTACTGCAATGCAACTAAAGAAGTCAAGTTTAAGGATAACCATGATGTGGAATGCTTCCCTAGATGGGCAAAATCTTTGATTCTCTGGCTTTCCATATTTCTTTGTCAAAATGTTATTATTAACCTTCTTAATGGTCTTGTGTTTTATACCAGGAAAAATATCTAGACATGTATTAAAAAGCAAGATATTTAGACCAAAGTTTCACTTTCCTGTATATTGTTATAAATATTTCCAACACAATGATTAAGAGTTGTGCTATAATCCAGCTACTTACAGTTTTTTAAAGAGAACAGACTTTAAATATTCCTGAAAGGATAATTTGATTTGGCAAAGGCTAATTTGTAGAAATCAAAAAGAGTGACTTATAGGAAGTAGTATTATGACAGACAGTGTTTGAGACAGGTAAATTTTCAGAATTGTGCCTGATGCAATAAAACAAAACTTCTGAAAAGCATTATTAGTTGTTATCATTGAAAAACTAATTATTCTAGCTTTCTGGGGCCAAAATTAATACCAAGGTATCTAATTTTGAGTTTTCTGATTACTTACATGACTCCAACCATGCATAATAATTGAATAGGAATTTCTTCCTTGATTTTTACTTACAATGGCAATCAGAAATTCAATATACTTTCAAATAACATTGAATGGAGGTAACAGAATTGTTGAACTACTGTTCAGACCACACACACAATTAAGAATGACCATTTCTCTAAAGCCTAAGTTGACACAAAGGTTGAGAATTTCAGCTTTGACTGGAAGTTTAGAATTTTCTGACTGGCTCTTGATGTAATTACATGTGAATGGCAACTTTTATTTTGGATGTACTGTTTCATGACCTGGGACGCATTTGAGCTGATTGAAATTCTCTGGTAGATCTTGAAAATAAAAGTCATGTTTTGGAAAGAAAGTGATTATTGCATCTGTAGCTATGTTTATGTTATTATATTTTTGAGCTTACATTCATTTCTGGGAATACTTTTAATTGGAATATTCATATAAGATAAGATTAATAGTGGAGATGAAAGGCACCATGTTGGTTAACACTTTTACTAATAATGGACTGAGTTATGTGGTCTATATATTTATGTTTTAAATACATATATCTTTAAGATATCTCATTAATTAACTGAAAGTGTTCTGCTTAATTTTTTCTCAAAATTAGAAAAACCTAAGAACAATGCTATAGGTAGAGTTAATAGAGAAATGAAATATATTTACATCTTATGCTGATAAAAAATATCATACCATATCTTATCTGAATGGCTTATTAAGGATTTATCATGTGCAGTTAGAGAAAACTGTGGAGTTGTTCACAGATCACTGAAACTCCTAAATGTTCATTTAACCTTTAGCTAGATTGTCATCAAAATCTGTGATCATCATTCACTTACAATATCCCTGAGATAGAAAAATTTTTCTAGCCAGGAGGTTCTCAATTACCTTATTGATTAAAGTCATTCAAAAGACAATGATCTACTCATTTAGGTAGTAAAAACAAGAAGAGAAAAATCTAATTAGTTGACCTTTGGTTGCATCTAGTTTTCTCAGAGATATGATAAAAAAAAAAGCAAGTTGTAAGAAATTACTAGAATTCCAAGTAGCTATTCAGTTTGAAACAGAGATGAAGCAACTTTTAAAACTTAATAAGCAAATTTTACTGCAATAATGAACACCTATTTCTCTCGCTGATTTGGAAAATTATTTATAATGTTTTTTACATTGTATTCTATCTTGATCCATAAGAAAAAGAAGATAGATAAACCTTTCATTTCTACTTCCATTTGCCCAGTTATTGCCAGAATAGTTACCATTATTATAATACTATCCTCCCTCATTACATTAAGATTATTTTATTTACTTTTAAATTAAGAAAAAGTAGTAAAACTCAAAAGCTCTGATTTGAATTTATTATTAGCAATGATTCTTTTTAGGTTTTTAATATTGTCTTAGTAGATTTAGTTTGGCCAGAGTCCATGCTTTCTTGATATACAGAGAATTGATATTCTGATTCCCATTTACATTAAAATTGATTGATTATTCTCATATATTTATATATTTCTCATCTATTTTAAATAATTTATATGACATATCAGTTTTATTTGCTAATATTTATATAAATACAACTGCAAATAAAAACTGATATGTCATATAGTTTTATGTCATATAACATTTTCATAACTAACCAAAGGCTCTACTGTCTATGCTGTATGCTAACAGAATGTCATAGAACTTTACCTTTAACAAGTTTCTTTTGACTTGGGCCTGTCAGTTGGATTATGAGATGGTCTATGGTGAAATATTACCTCCAAATGACTCAATTTTTCAACTAACCATTTAAATAAAGCCAGACATTCATATTTGTTTCTTAAATCATTTAAAAATAATCAGATATGCAGAGATTAGAGATGCATGTGCAAACCTCTAAGTGTTAGTAGCATTAAAAATGAGTCTTTCTGTAGGAAGCAGTATATTTTTAAATGAAATAAAGATCTCTTTTTTAAAGGTTAAAACTTCATTCAATTTTATGTCTTACAGGGTTTATACTGAGTTCAATATTGTATAACTGTATTAATTCAACTGTGAACCTAAATATTTACAGCCACTTTTGAAAGAGATGTATTTTTGCTCTGGAAATTGTTATTGAATATGATAAAGCTGTAATGAAATGCTTCTTCTAATCATGTGGTTATTAAATAAATACTAAATTTAAAAAAATTAATTGTCTGATAAGATAAGGGGGAATCCAAGCTTGTATTTTCCCCATTGATGTTGGAATAAATGGTTTTGAATAAAAAAGATATTTCTGAATCCAATGAAGATACTGCTACAAAAAATATTCCAAGAAAAAGTGACACTGAACTAAAATTTTATAAAATTATAGAAAATGTATCCAGATGAACACTACAGTTGAAGTACTTGTAAATTCTGATTTTAAGTGAAAACTCTAGTTACAGCATATATTCCAGTCAGCCTGCTTAACTTTGCTTAGTTATATGTAGGAACTAAATAAACTCATCCAAATGACAGGACTATAATTTGGAGACTTAAGCTTATGATTTGGGAAATAAATCAATTTAAAGCTAATATTTTGTCACCACCAGAATTATTTCAGCTTGTGTAAAAATAAGTCAGTGGATGCCATAAATGGTAAATTATATGATCTACATATATTTACAATAAGATCAAAGGCAGAGGTTAGTTCTATAGGTAATACGCCCCATAGGTTTTCTTAAGGTAAATGAGCAATAAAATAAACATTTTATGACATATTGCCATAAGTTACCTATATTTTTATCTTATTTTCAGCATGACTAAGCCTTTCAATACATTTCAACCTTTCTAAAATGTAAGAATTTATCCCAGTGCCATTTTAATTTTAGTGAATATAGAGTAAATTAAAATAATACTATGGTTTTAGTACATTATGAATAAATGTATGTTCAGTATGTATAGTTGGTAAGTATACAATAGATATTAACATGCAAAGTAAATTATAAATAATAATATATGGCTTTTGAGTGTTTAATGCATGGCTTTTTGAGTGTTTAATTTTACTTATCAATGTTAATATTTCAAGACTACTGAATGCCACAGCAGTTAAAATATCCTGAATATGTGTTTATCTTTTAGTTTTGACAGATAGACCTCCACCTATAATCCTACAAGGCCCAATAAACCAAACACTAGCAGTAGATGGTACAGCAATACTGAAATGTAAAGCCACTGGTGATCCTCTTCCTGTAATTAGCTGGTTAAAAGAAGGGTTTACTTTCCTGGGTAGGGATCCAAGAGCAAGTATCCAAGAACAAGGGACGTTGCAGATTAAGAATCTAAGGGTAAGTGATGTGTGGCTTCTGTTTCACTCCTTCTTAGCATAAGCACTGCTCTAGAGAACACCTGCATGCTTAACTGAAAATCTTACATCTCAGCAGGGTCACTGCACATTTTATGAAAGGTCTTTTATTTCTTGGTTTAACAATTATTAATTGAAATTAGAGGAAATGTCATTGCCCTTAGGATACCAATAAGTTTTTATGCCATATATAGAAATATCTCTCTCTCTCTCTCTCTCTCTCTCTCTCTCTCTCTCTGGTCTTTTAGAGACAGAGTATCCCTGTAGCCCCAGCTGTCCTGGAACTTGTTATGTCGACCAGGCTGGCCTTGAACTCACAGAAATCTGCCTGTCTCTGCCTCCCGAGTGCTGGTACTAAAGGTGTGCACTACTATACCTGTCTTGTATTTCTTTATTTAATACCATCTGCATGCCATCAGTGAAACTAGAAATCTTGTATTTTATTTATTTGGATTTGGGAGGTTTTGTGTGTGTGTGTGTGTGTGTGTGTGTGTGTGTGTGTGTGTGTGTGTGCGTTTTGTGAGTATTCATTTGTTTGAAGGTATATTTGCACATGGGATATGGGATTCAGAGGACAACCTATGGTGCCTTCCTCAAGACGAATCTGCCTTGTGTTTTTTCGGGTGAGAAGTAGTAGGAATGGACAGGGCCTCTCACTGGCCTGTATCTCACTGAGTAGAGTAGGCTGGCTGACCAGAGAGTCCCAGGTAGCCACCCATGTCTGCCTTCCCAGGACTGGGATTAGAGATATACATCACCACTCACTGATCTTTTTTAATGTATTTAGGGATTAGACTCAGGTCCTCATGCCTACAAAGCAAGCACTTTACTGACTGCAATCTCCCCAGTCCTGAAACTAAAAATCTTGAACACAGATTTCATCATAATAGAAGGCAATTGAAATAATTTGGGCATAACAAATGTTTCTAATTTTACTCTCAATGTAAAGGAAGAGTATGAGTCTAAGAAGATAAATTGGCTAGGCCAAAAAATTGCATGGCAAGAATAAAAGGATGAGACTGAGTTCACATGAGGCAGATGTGGATAGTTGGACAATACATTAGATTTTTGGTTAGTTTGCTGTTAATTTGATATTTAAACCTCCAGATGAGAATGAATCATTGGTATTTTCACTGAAATGTACATGAAATAGAATTGTCTTTCCTCAAAGTATAGTAAGTTAGACCTGCATCAAAGGTAACCTGAAACACAATATGTGATTCTGAATGTTGCATTAATTTTCTAATATTCAACAGTATTTTAGCAAAAGTCACAGATGTAAAGTAACACAGAGTTATTACCTCACAACTTCTATGAATTAGAAGTATGGCCAGGACTGGCTGGGACTTCTACTACAGTTTTCACAAAGCTTGCATTGTAGTCAGTTAAGGCTGGAGTCTCATCTGAGTTGGAGAGAAGATAGACTGTCTTCCAGTCACAGTGCTATGGTTGTTGATTGCTTAAGAGTTTCTTCTGTCCAATAGACAGACTATTCAGCTTCTGCTAATTGGGTGATGGCAGTCTCTAGTCTCTTGTTATGTGGGTCTTCCTAATAAGAGTCCTTATTTCCACAAAATCAGCATGAGAGTCTCACAGGAAAATGGGTGTTATAATCCTATGGTAGAAAACTAAAAGCATAACATCCTGCAACTGTGAAGCATGCTGTTCGCCAAATATAAGTAAGGTCCCATCTGCATTGTACTAAGATAAAGGATCACATGAGGAGTGACAACCAGACACATGTTATTGTGAGAGTTACCTGTCCTCTGCCAGCATAGCCCAACTCATTTAATCAGATATAGGAAACCCACCCACATTTCCCCAGCTATCAAGCACTACAGTAAAGCAGAGTTGTTTACAAGAATCACAAGCCTGAAGAAGTGAGTCAGAATTGAGATAGCTAATATAACAGTAGATTGAAAAAAAATATTGAAAATGCTTCAGTAGAAGAGCAATTAGTAGACTTTTGTGCTCAAGTAGAAACTGGAAACCAAGGTGGAGAAAAACCAAAAGAGGACCCTAGAGATGCTCACTAGGATATGGTGCCTATTGCCAAGCCTGAACACTTGCGTTTGATGCCCATCCCATATATTGGAAGGAAGGAACCCATGACTGCAAGTTGTTCTCTGACCTCCCTATCCCTGTGGCATGCTAGAGCATATAGGTGTGAGCATACAAACAAACACAATATAATAAAATAAATGTGAAAAAATACCAAAAAAGCAAGAAAATATTGTAAATCTTGAATCTTCTCATTCAGAAGCCAGGAGGAGAGGCAAAATATTTTATTCCATATTTTCAAATGAGGATGATTCTTCTCTTAGGATTGAATACATTTACATATTTATATGGTCATTTATCAATGTATTATACACATATATATGTCAAATAGACAAATAGCCAATCCTAGATAAACTTTAATGCATTTATGTATAATTTTAACTTTCAAAATAATGAATTATTTATCATTCTAGGTGTAAAAATTATTGCCAAGTTCTGTTAATGGAAAATAAATTAATATGGACCCCTTTGATATTTGCTTTTATTGATTGTAAATTAGCTAACTTTCTTTGAACAAAATGAAAGTTATTTAAAAATTCACACAAGTTCTCCTTGCATAAACACTTTAACCTCTCTCTGAGCTAAAAATCATCTTGGGCCATGAAGGTTAATGCATTTTTGCTATATTGCTGGATTAAAGTCTGTGCTTTGATAGTCAAGATTCCTAGGAATGTTGAAAGGAAGCAATTAAAGCTGGATAACTTGAGGGCGTCAATAAACTTTGCATCTGTGAAAATGTCTCTGAGTAGTTTCTTTGAGAAGCCGAACATGGTGGCTCATGCCTGTAGTCCCAGCACTTGGGAGGCAGAGGCAGGCGGATCTCTGTGAGTTCAAGGCCAGCCTGGTCTACATAGTGAGTTCCAGGACAGCTGGGGCCGCAAGGAGACCTTGCTTCAAAAAGACAAAAAAATAAATAAAAAATAAAGTTAAGACACTAAAAAGGAACATGGTGATGATGACTATGGTAACACAACAGTGAGATTTAGCAGATATTTAGATTTTTGATCACATCCAAATTGAATACCTTGTTCTTTTTCTATACAAAGGCTGTTGCTACCTGGAGATTAAAATAAGCTTAGCAGTACTTCACTGGAGTAGATGAGAGAGGTTTACTTTAGGTCATATTCCTTTGTGTCTCAAATTTCATTTTTTCAATGCATAAGGCCAAAGAACAAAATACTATGCTAGATGCTATGTTCTCATAGTCCAGCTAATTGGTAACTGCACCTGTATCTTTTGAGAAGTAGAATATTCCAATACTCATTAAAACCTACCTAGCACAGCTAATGCCATGCTTGTATCTCCACACAATGACAAGGAGGTACAGTTAAGATGCATTACCTACATAGACTTCTTTTAGCAATTACACGGAATAACAAGTGCTACATTTTAGTTCAACAGCTATAATAAAATGCAAATTCTTTTACACTTTCACAGCCCATATTCAAATGAACATCCCATTAAAATCCAACTTCAGCTCATTATATTTGGTTTGTGAGTGATTCTTCTTAAATGCAAAGATTTCTAATGACTATAATGTGTTCACAGCCACGTTTGAAAGGATGGTTCATTCCACAATGGCTATTCCCATCATCCCTCTGTGTGATAGAAGAAAATTGTACAGAAACACTATGGAAAAGAGTGATGTGCCAAGAAATTTGAAACTTAAATACGTACTGACATTTGAAATCAATTAAAATGATGGCATGGCAGTAACTTCATGTACTAATGATTTATCTGAAAATCTATTATCAAAGTTTGAGTCATCCATTTACTTTGAAAATGAAGTTGTAATATCCCATAAATTCTCACATTTTATAACAAACTTCTGTTCATCATAGAATATTAATTCTGTGTTTTGTTTTGCCTTTTTCTCTGTTGACCAATTTTTACTCCCAAACACAGTGAAGATTATTGAGTCCAATGTTTTATTAATCTTAGGCACAGTATCACTATGAGGGCAAGAAAATTAAAAAATGGACTTTATCAGACAATCAGCATTTAGTTCCAGATATAAATTTTAAAACTTGTAATCAATATTGTAACATAAGGTTATTTAAGTATTATAAATGTATATACACATGTTATTGACTATAATGTGTTACTTGGAAAGTCAAATAATACATTTTATTTTAAGAAATTAAGAATTGCCTGACCAATATTGAGTGGTTATCCTGCAAGTGGACCACAACTGAATTCTTTCTTTCCATGCATGTTAGATTTCTGATACTGGCACTTATACCTGTGTGGCTACAAGTTCAAGTGGGGAAACTTCCTGGAGTGCAGTGCTGGATGTGACAGGTGAGTTCTGAATGAGGTGAAATTATTTAATGAGGGCTCCTCATTAAATCAAGGTTTAACAGACATTGACTGTATCTTCACATTCAATGCCAATTTTGAATTCCCATACCAGTTGGCCATAGCACTGTCTTTGTGGGATGCCATGAGTCTATATTTCATAAGCTTGATATTTTACTTCTGAAATGCAAGAAATTCTAGTTATTATACATTAAAAGGAAGTTTAATTTATTAGCAAGAAGGAAAAGCAGCTGATCAATCCCTGTAATTTATGAAGATGAATTGCTCACTGTCAAGTCAACTTCTTCAATATTTCCTTCTTATCAGCATTATTGTCAGCTTACAAAATCAAGAATGAAGATTTTTCTGTTTGTCCTCTATAGAATCCGGAGCAACAATCAGTAAAAATTATGATTTCAATGACCTGCCAGGGCCGCCATCGAAACCACAGGTTACTGATGTAACTAAGAACAGTGTCACCTTGTCCTGGCAACCAGGTACCCCTGGAACTCTTCCAGCAAGTGCATATATCATTGAGGCTTTCAGGTAGGGGGAAACTCCTGTTTCTGTTCTCCACTGGATATTTGTTGAATTCCTGTACCTTCATATTTCAACTGAGCTGATATTTTATGTTAAGAACAATTTCAATCATGGCACTTCAAGGATTTATCTTTATATCTGACTTTATTCAAGAATAGGCATAACATTTTCATTTACAAATTAATTATAAGATTCAATATTTATTATCCATTCCTAGGCCTATAAAGAGATATTTCACAACATAATTTCTTTATTTTCTTCATCCTGACAATTATATATGTTTATACAGTAACGCATCTTCCCCTTTGCCTGTGGACCCCAGTGCTTCCTCATCACCCATTTGTACCTTCTGATCTCCTTTCTAGTTTTTAAGGATTTACCCATATTAAAACACACACACACACACACACACATTCTAATATGTGTATATTGTGGACTCAGATCCTCATATGAGAGAGAACTTCTGTTTTGTCTTTCTGACTTTTGGTCACCTTAGTTAATATCATATTTTCCAGATCCTTTGATTAAAAAAAATTGTGATTTCATTCTCCTTTGCAGCTGAATAAAATTCCATTGTGTATGTGTACCACATTAAGACATTAAAATCAGGCAGAACTTAACTATAACAAGACACAGGCACATTTAAAGTTTCCTCGATATTTACTTAAGCATAAGATTTAGGGATATTTATTCCTAATAATTAGAGCAGAAATGTGAAGCACTTCTAACGTTTTTGACACAATGTACTTGAATACATCTACTGGATATTCTTGCAATAAAATTTAAAATGAAAGTTGATAAATTGATTCCATGTGCTTCTAATTTTTTAAAGAAAAGCTGTTTTTATGTCCTCTTTGAAATAGTTGTTATCAACACAGATACAGATGATAAATGATTGCATGTCATTACATTGCTTGGTCTGGAATTGATAAAATACAAATGGAAAAATGCATAACACTGTTTTTGCATTCAGTTTCATTGTGCTTCTGTTTGTTGTACAGTTTGAAAGATAGCCTTTGTCCACTGTCAACATTAGGACAAATAACGACTTTCATTTTAAGTTTTCCTAATTCATATTTAAGTTAGTTATAGATACATAATTTTCAAATTTTAAAAAGTATTTTTCATTACTTTTTATGCTTTAAAGCATAAGAATGTCTAACAGAAAAAAAGTCCTAAAACATTACATTTTGGGGGCTGGACACATGGTGCAGCATTTAAGAACACTGAATGTTCTTGCAGAAGACCCAGGTTCAAATCCCAGCACCCACATGGCAGCTAACAACTGTCTGTAACTCCAGTTTCAGGGAATCTGACAGCCTTCTTCTGTCTTCCTGGTGCACTTACCTACATGCAGACAATACACGAATACACATAAAATAAAAGTAATAAATAAAATAATTTTTAAAAATCACATTTTCTTTGCATTTAGAGCAAAAGTTCCATTTGACCTTAGAGAAAGTGTTCTAAAATGTCATCCATCTATAGTCATTTGTAGAGGGTCCACATACAGATTCAGAGATGCTTCATCATTCTGAGATGAGAAATCACAATACTGTGTAATGTGCAATTTTATTAAAAATGTAACCAAGGGAAAAATATTCATTACATGCTTCCTTTCTTCTTTTACAGATATGTAGTTTTAGAAGGCTCTATTATAATATTGCATGTGGAATTGATGCAAAAGAAAACACACCTTGTAACAAGAAAATGTATTGGCATAAGTTACTCTGTAGTCCATTTATTCTTTCTACAGGTTAATTCTTTGCAAGGTATATATATATGCATTTATGAGGACCATACTTATTGTATAAACTTGATGTTGTGATCTTGGCCTCTGTTCCTTTTACAGGTTTTCATTTAGTGGGCTGCTGTGCATTTAGTAAAGGGCTGTCACATCTTCTGGGATGAGTTAAATTTTGTTGTGCATGACACTTCCGTTAGGTGGGCTTGGCTTTATTGTTGAATAACTTGAAGTCATCCAAATGTTTCGTTTATTGGGCTGAGCACTTCAAGTGTTGTGTGTGTACATGTGTTTAATTTTCAGCCATTAACCTTTGTCATTGATACCCAAGTCCATTTCCTATGGTCTTATGACTGTTCTTTAAATCAACTTTTTGTCCTATTTCAGCCAATCGGTGAGCAATAGCTGGCAAACAGTGGCAAACCACGTTAAGACAACCCTCTATACTGTGAGAGGGTTGAGGCCCAACACAATCTACTTATTCATGGTCAGAGCAATCAACCCCCAAGGTCTCAGTGACCCAAGCCCTATGTCGGATCCTGTACGTACACAAGGTAATTTCAGCAGCTGTAAAAATGGCTGGCTTTAGAAAATGTGTCAATTTAAATCAGGGAGACTGTTTCAGAACAAAGTAAATTGTGCACACTGATTCGTATAATTATTCACTTGATTTTTTTTTCCCATGAAAGAGAAGATAATTTGCAGTTCACCTTTTTAAGAGGTGTCTTTTCTGGTGCTTTCAGGCTTTCTGCAGTTAAAAAAAAGTAAAACAAATAATTTGTACATATATAAAAAAACAGGAATCTTCTAAATAAAGAAGAAAATGTTTCTTCTTTATTATATAACAGAAAAAAAATCATTTAGGGTAAATGCCCAGATGGAGTATCAGAATTGCTTCTTCAGTCCATGAGCTCTCTATTTCTAGGGAAGTGGTTCTCTGGTTAAGGGTTTTGAGTAGGTAATGTTAGTATCCCCTGAATCTCTTAGAGACAGATTTTAAGTCTTCAAGTTAAAAGATCTGTGGTCAGGGCTTTGAGTTTAGGTTAGTACACCCTCCAGGTAATACCGTACCATTACCTCTACTATGCATTTTAGCTAAACAGTTGTTTCAAGAACATATTTACTTAGAACAGAGTAAATCAAATTCTCTTCTTGGTAATAGGTAATTCTTATGTCTAACATAACATCAGACCCCAGAATGTTAAAATATGATTCATTTTAAAATGGAAGATTTCCTTTCCTCATCATTTGTAGCCTGTCTTTTCTTACAGAGAAGTCATTGAAGTGGGGGTTTAATATAGAATGCTACATTATACTTTCCTTTTTTACTAGTAAGACAAGGGAAGCAGTACAGTAGAACACTGGACCTTTATATTTATTATAATCTAATTTCTCACAGGGTTCTTGAGAAAGGGTTAATTATTTCTTATTTGTAAGAGGCTCTGAACAAGATATAACTCAAAGGAGTATTTTTATGCTATGAAAAGCACCATGCACCCATAAAATATTATTATAATTACAATGTAGTTGAGGGGTAGTGACTAGCATGCCATTATCACAGAGAAGGGTGCAGTAAAGGAATGAAGTGAAATAAAGTCCCCACGTGATGCTAATGTGGCTGACACGATGACAGTCAGGGAGGAGGGGAATCCACTTCCCTATTGTTCTCTAAGCAGTAATGTGATTAATTTTCCATCATGATAAAGGGCTTGTAGGTAAAGAACCTGTCTCCTGAGAGAGAAAAAGCACAACAAAGACTCTGAAGACCTGAAGCTAGTTACATTTTGCCTCACCTCCATCCAGTTGCTTTTAGTGTGCCTGAAATGAATGAGTAAATTAAATGATTGCATGTGAAGTGGAAGGAATGTCCAATTTTTTAAAGTCTAAAAATTATAGGACCTAGATCATTTACACCTATGTAGATAGCAATCAGTGTGTGTGTGTGTGTGTGTGTGTGTGTGTGTGTGTGTGTGTGTGTGTGGCAGCAGCAGCAGCAGACTGAGATATGGAAACAGGAGAACGCAGAGCACTGCTGGTGTGATTGAGTCTGGCACACCTTCATGATCAGTCAATAACTATGCCAGTCTCTAAATCTAGACTTATAAAATAACTCTCAGTGAAAAGGTCAACAAAGATTAATGAAAAGTTGTTTGTGATCTGGCTTGTTCCAGCTGAGAAACTTCACAGGGCAAAAGACTGGGTTTTTCTGAACAGATATTTAATAGGAAAACTCATGTTTTGTGTCTGAACGTCAGCATTGTTTTGGCACCACACGTTCCACACCTAGACCAGTACTTCTTTTCAAAGAATACACTGGGTTTTGAACTTTAATTTTCAAAGACTGAAAATATTTTAGTTCAATAATGGCATTAAGTGGTTACACTATCAATATCAGAGTAGACCATACATCACTAGCAACGATTAATATTATTCACGTAAAGGAACTTTGTTTTTCTACGTCAATTTGTACTTCACTCTGTTGGTTAGGATGAACATGAACAAAAAAAGTACAGATGAAACAAAACACACACAAGTTGTTCCTATTTATGTCCCAATTTAAGTTAATGCACTTGAGTTATAGCTCAATAACTACGAAAATACTTATGCAGAATGTTGCATTATGAACTGAGAACACAGCAAACAAAATTAAGGAAACAATAACTTAAAATTGGATATCTTTCTTTAAATAGTTTGAGGAAAACTGTTACCTTGGCATGAGTGTTCCGGTTAAAGAACTCAATTTGAATGTATGTGAATTTTAGTGTTTATATCAAATTGATGAACTTAAATGTATTTAATTTTTTACTTGATTTGCATGGGGCAATAAAATGATTTTCAGGTGAATGCTTAATAAGGAAACAACCATTTAAGGTTAAGTATGTGCCATTCAAATGAGCAGTCAGTATTGCTTCCTGTTTCACCAAAGCAGCTGATGACCCCTTTAGATATTAGGGGAGAAAAGTGTTTATTTGGCTTACAGCACAGTCCATCATTAAGGGACTCTGATGGAGCTCAGTTCTACAGAAGGCAAATCAAAGGCAAGATAGAGTCCAGCTGTCTCTTGAAAACAAGAGGCTGTTTGGACATTGGCAGAACACCACCTCCTAGTCAAGGGCAGAACACTGCCTTAGGACAGTAAGAACGAAAGGGGATGAGCTTGTGTTTTCCTTTCTTGCCTACTGGAGCTCTGGGAAAGGGTTTGGTTAGTAACAGAAAAGAAAAACAACACTTTACTTTGAATTTTGCTTGATTTATGTTTTCCACGATGTATCCTTGGCTGACCAAGGGAGCATTTTACCAGTATTCTAAATGTTTTGGTTCTGTAACCTTCACAAGTCCTTTCCTTTCCCATTCTCACTCCGTGCCTTTAAGGACAGTATTCACTTGCCAGGCTCGTAATTATTTGAATCCATGACTCCACATGGACATAGGTAAAGGAGGAAGAAAACACAACCTACTGATACAGACAAAGAATGGGAAATAAAATCTAATCTTAAGTTTCAGATATATGTTAACTTATTTCTTGGGAAAATCCTTCAATACACCAACATATTTATAAAAATTACCATACTTAGGGCTGAAGAGATGGGTCAGCAGTTAAGAGCACTGGTTGCAGAGGACCCGGGTGTGGTTCCCAGCACCCACATGGTGACTAACAACCTCCAATTTCAGGGAATCTGACACCCTCTTCTGACCTCCAAGGGCATTGTATGACATGGGTGGTGCACTTACATATATTTGGCAATACACTCATACACATAAAATAATAATGAATAAAATATTTTTTCAGGTAAAATTTTATTTAATTTTTGAAATTGTTCACCTTTTGTACATGTCATACAATAATTCTCAATCAAATTTAAATACCCTCCCCCATACATGCCCCCCAACCCCCCACTGGACCTCATATATTCCACCATACATGTTAAGTCCTATTCAGTCAAGTATTTGTACCCAGATGTCCTTCAGTACAAATTCCTCCATTAGTGTCTAGCCAGCCTATCTAGATATCAAGCATAAGTAAAGCATACTCTCCCTCACCCCATAGGACTCAGTCTCCAACTGTTCCCATATTAGGGCTGGCCCACCACCCATTTTCTTCACTCCACTCTGGACCCTTGTCCAATTGAATTGGATGGGTCCTGTGCTCAGTGTCACCATTGCCACCAGTTCACATGTGCAAGCTTCCAATGGCCTGAAAGCCCCCGCTTTCCTATGTTCATGAAGCAGCCCTGACTCTTACAATCTTTCTGCTCTCTTTTCTGCAATGGTTCCTGATGTTTAATATAGGAATCCTATCCTGGGACACACACCCTGCAGTCTGTGTGCCTTCTGTGTGCATTACACTCTGTTGTATAAGGAAGCTTCACTGGTGAGAGCTGAGGGATGCACTAGTTTTCTCTCTATCTCTCGTTCCTCTATTTCTATGAGCCTTAGGTATAGAGGTTCAACTCTAGATGTGTCACCTAGAATTAGGTGTCTCTCAGACGTATATTCTCTGTGTCTGACTAGTTGTGTGATTCTGCTCTAGCCTCCATCTGTTGCAAAAAGAAGCTTATTTGATGAGTGATACATGGCATAAGTGTCTGTAAATAAAGGATCCATATTTAGCATATGGTAAGAAATTTCGTTTGTCTAGAGACATGGCAGAGATAGGGTTTTCTCGCGGATCTATAACCTCTCTAGCCATGTGTATCTGATTGTGTTTACAGTGCCACTCATGAGTTCGGCCCCATTGAGATGGCTTTAAATCCAATTAGATAGCTGTTTATTGCCTCCCAGATAATAAAAATATATTATCTTTCTTGAGACATTTTAGAGCACATTCTCTTTCTAATTCAAAATTCTGTTCTTCCACAACAATGTATCTGTGTGAGAATTAAGAATTATAAAGTCTTTTGTGAATATATTTTTAGTAAATATAATCTTAAATTATGCCCTTCCATCATCAAATTATCTCTCACACATTCACTTATATGTAAATGCATATGTTTTTTGTCTGTATACTTAATAATTTATGTCACAAAAATTTTAATCCTCTCTACATTAATTCTCAATGTATAATGTTGACCTATGTAAACATCATTGGAATTTCATAATGAATCTTTGAAATGGAGTGGTTTTGTCTTCTTACTACAGATATCAGTCCCCCAGCACAAGGAGTAGACCACAGACAAGTACAGAAGGAGCTTGGAGATGTCATCGTCCGCCTTCATACTCCAGTTCTACTGACACCTACAACTGTTCAAGTCACATGGACGGTAAATTTTCAGAGATTATACTAGACTTTATATACAATATAGAAGGTAAAAGTCAACTGGGAATTTCATAGATTTTTCAAAGGAAAATAAAAATTTCAAATAAACCAAAACTTAAAAAGTAAAGCACTCAGCATTTCAAATCAAGATGCAGTCCATGATAACAAAGGAATATTCAGTCAATGAAACAGTACAGAGTAAGAAGTAAAAGTAGCTATAACAGCCAGGATTGATGCATGATCCTAAGGAAAGTTTTCCAGGCAACTGGGAACTTGCTCATGTGAACTTGTAGTAATGGTGACAGCATGCACAAGACCCATGCAGACTCAGTCAGACAAAAACCCATCAGAGAACTAGAGAAATGGACAACAGGCCCCGGCCTTAGCCAAGGAACTATTAGCATCTGATCACTGCTGGGTAAGAGAGTTCTTTAAGGGAGTGCCTCTAGATAGACTGCTTAGACTCCAGTGGAGGAACTTGAACTGAGGGACATCTGGGTATGTAAACTTGACTTGATAGGCCTTAACGTATAAGACAGAATGCATGAAATTTAGGTGGGGGTTGTGTGTGGGGGGTACAGCTGGGAAGGGGGATCTAAACATGATTAAGATGTATGAAATTCACAAAAATTCAAAAAATATACATTGAGAAAGAAAAAATAAATTGTAATATAAACATCACCTTCTCTATCTTTTGTATTTCTAGTGCTTTTACTGAGCTACAGTTAATGTACCAAAGTTACAGTGCACAACTCAGTAGTTTTAGTACAGTGAGAGTGCTGAAATCATCACCAAAATCTGATCTTACAACGTTAGTGTAATCCCTGAATAAAGCCCTGAGCCCATTAGAGCTCATTCCCTGTGACCCCAACCTCAGTCTTGTGCAATCATTAATAGATGCTGTATCTCTATAGTTTTGTTTACACTCGAGTATTCCGGTGGACTGTTTTTATTTTTATTTGTGTTTTGTCATTTTGTTTTGTTTTGTTCTGTTTTATTTTCTTTGAGAAAGGGTCTCCCTTTAGCCCCAGCTACCCTGGAATTTGCTATGTTGACCTGGCTGGCCTCAATCTCATGGAGATAGCCTTCCTCTGCCTCCTGACTGCTGAGATTAAAGGTGAGCACCACCATGCATAGCCTTTCATTTTTTATTTTTACTTCAAAAGAGAAATGATAAATATTCATCTGTTGAAAGAAATCTGCTAATCACAGAAATTCAAATTACCATCCTGGTGAACATTTTATTTTTTTAAAGCCAGTCTAAATAATTATTAAATTTCTGCCCTATGAATATAAAATTTGGTAGTTTCTTAAAGTATAAAATATGAGTAAACATATAATATTTAAAGAATAATTATATAATTTAGAGTTACAGTATTTTATTTCCATCTTTTATAATTTTTAATGAATGTTTTTCCATACTATTCATGTAATGTTTTCTATTTTTCTGTTCCCAAGAGGATAGTACATTTCTCTCATAAGTACTCCAATAATGCAATAAGGAATATATTTAATGAAATAAATTCAAATGGAGGGGGTCTCTCACCACTGTAATTGGAGTTATTTTACCTCTCAGGTAATATTTTCAACTTACTACATATGTAGGTTATTTAAATTAGTGCTCACTTAGCATTTGAGTTGCAGATGTGCTGAAGAGGCAGGCCACTGGGAGTGGCTCACAAGGCCTGAGGTATTTAATCACCACATGTACCTGACATTTGTCCTGGAAAAATCACTAACCTCCCAAACTCTACCAAAGATTACTGCTAATGAAGCAATAGTTTGCAGTAACAACTTTCTAAAAATCACTGTTGGTATAATGAAGGGAGGCTAAAATCATTTTAAAAAATTGTTCTATAGAGAAAAGTAGCAATAACTTGCTTTTTAAAATGATGATTGTAGTGTGGTGGTAGTGGTGGTGATGGTTATGATGGTTGTTATTGTTGAGGTGGTGGTATTGTTGGTAGTGGTGGTGATGGTATTCAAAGACAAAAGAATCAAAAGTCCTGATGCTGGGATTGCAAGGAATGCTTTTACAAAATCAGCTTTAGAAAGCTACTGAAACAAGATCTGTCACTTAGCAGCTAGCTCACCAATGAAAACCCTTTCTGGATTTCCTATTCAGATTTATTCTCTGTTTTTAAAATTGAAAGTATAGACAGTGAGCATCTGCACTTCGCAGTTCAATGAAAATGTTTACTTAGAAGCTGCCATGCCATTTTCACCTCTTTAATAAAGATGCCTTATGAACACATCTCCACAGCTAGCAGGGTACAGTCACTTAAGTTTCTCATTTGACTGTTTCTGGATCCCTGTGACGTGTGCATTATCTGAACAAAAGAAGTGTACCTAAGGTCAGAAAGATGAAGAGAGGAAGGTGAAATTCAAGCTCAGGCATCCTCTCTGAAAAGCTGAAGTTTTCTTTATCATTTCACTTATCCTTTAAGTCAAATGCTTATTTGTGTATCAGAAAGTCCTAATTCTCAAAACATGTCAGTTTGGTATAAACACAAATTGATAGTGTGGATGAGGATTCCAGTAACCTGAGCCTCCACATTAGACCTGGTGTTAGTTTTTCTTATTATAACCTCATAATATTGTGGCTCTAATTCTCGAAAATCTTTGAGGGTTAAAAGTTGCCAGGTGGAGGAAGGAATTCCTACATTTAAGAGACTAGACTGGGAGGTTAAAATTTGCTGTATAAAGAAAAGCATACAGGATTCCATGAAGGTTTCTATCTGGTGCATTCTAAATAGAAAAATATATTACTTATGGACTTAAACACCATGAATTTTTGCCTAGAATTTGATCAGTTCTAAAGATACCTGTCTTCTAATCTGAATGTTGATCAAATTATTAAAGCATTTATGGTTTAACGTGAAAATGATCACCTCTACTTAATAAAGTTTACCTATTTTAAGGTAATTTTCTTTTTTTTCAGGTTTGCTTTCACCTGTGTTAATATATTTCTACTCTCCAAACAGTGCCTTGCAACTGCACAAAATTAAGCTAAACTCTTTTGTATTAAGTAGGCCATTATTATCCACTGGTTGAAGGCATGGCTCACTGGAGTGAGCAAGCCATGCTGTGTAGTAAACATTAGCTTCATAAACTCCCGAAAACACTTAATTAATGAAATCCAAACATGGATAAAACCAATTTGCCCTGATTTACAGACTCCCTTCATCTGGAAACAGCTGCTTAATGTTCTTCTTAAAAACACAGCTTGCTTCTTTCAGTATTAACAAGCTATTATTGTGAGTTATGTCTTTCTTTCAGTATATAAATTCACTTAAAGAGAATGCAGAGAGGTTTATACAATGTAAGCTTAATGTTGTTTTAACATACATGGCAAGGATCTTTTTTTTTTTTTTTTTTTTTTTTTTTTTTTTTTTTTTTTTTTCGATGAAAGGCAATCCTCTTTGGTTCTCATAAATTTAAGCTTTTGCTTCTTGGTTGCCTAATTCCATAATGTCAGGACAACTCCTGCTTTTCAAGAAAAACATGTCAGTTTGGTATAAACACAAATTGATAGTGTGGATGAGGATTCAAATAACCTGAGCCTCCACATTAGACGTGGTGTTAGTTTTTCTTATTATAACCTCATAATATTGTGGCTCTAATTCTCGAAAATCTTTGAGGGTTAAAAGTTGCCAGGTGGAGGAAGGAATTCCTACATTTAAGAGACTAGACTGGGAGGTTAAAATTTGCTGTATAAAGAAAAGCATACAGGATTCCATGAAGGTTTCTATCTGGTGCATTCTAAATAGAAAAATATCTTGTTCTATACTACTTTAATTGAAATTTTATAATATTGTACTATTTAAAATCAATATGGTAATCTACCATTCATTGACGTGTTACTTTCTCTCAACTAAAGAAGAAAGGATAGAAGTTATATGAAAGAAAACACTTTTGTTCATCACATACAGACTACTGTAATTTTTTAGTTGAAGTTAGAGAGCATCATTTTCTTTATTTCTTTCTGTACACGTTGCTGACATGAGGCTATTTCATTTGACTTTCACTAATCTTTACACTTTGAGAATAAATGTCAGACTGAAAGCTTCTTATGATGTGGCTACTAAACTGTAGCGTGAGGCACTAGCTGGAGAAGATGCTGTGGTCATTTATGTTCAAATTAAGCATTTCTAAAGCAAGACGAGACATTAAAGTGGTTTGAAATCCTATTTTTATTAAAAGATAAAGTCAGGGCTGGAGAGACAGCTCAGTGGTTAAGAACACTGTTCTTGCAGAAGACCTGGGTTTGAATCCCAGCACCAACATGGCATCTAACAGCTATCTGTAACTACAGTGTCAGGTGATCTGACAGCATCTTCTGTTCTCCATGGGCATTGCATGTTGTTGTTTTCAGGACTGGGTTTTTGAGAGGGGAGGGAGTAGGGAGGACAGAGAGAGAGGCAGAGAGTATGTGTTTTGCAGGTACACATCTGTGTGGCGGTACACATACATTCTTCCCCACCTTGGGTCTCCGGGTCTGTCATTGGCCTGGGATTTGACAAGTAGGATGGGCTAGCTGGCCATCAGTCTCAGGGATCACTGTCTCCACTCCCCAAAGCTGAAACTGCAGGTATAAAAACACCACACTTGGCTTTTTTTTTTTTTTTTTTTTTTAATGTGGGATCTGAGGATTGAACTCAGGTCCTCAAGCTTGTAAAGCAAGCAGTTTACCAACTGAGTTGTCACCCCAACTACAATAAAGGGAAGAAAATATTTTTTAAAAGGTATAGTTGATATGAGTTTTCAACTTCAAAATCTAATTGCTACTAAAAATAGGTGCTATATTTTCAATAAAGGGAGAGACAAAAACTTGTGAAAATGTGTGAAATGGGACCAAAAAAGGAGTAGGAAGATGCTAAAACACACTTTTTAGTGAGTAGTGGATAAGAGTTTTCACCTGCTTTTCAGGTAGATGGTAGGACTTGGCCCTTTAATCTTAAATTTCCTGTGGTTTATCCAGACACAGGGGTGCGTGCATTCTCAGTCCTTGCTTCACTGCTCAGGGGACCCCAGCTCTGCATTCAGGAATTTGGGCCTTCATCAGGAAGAAAATCCTCCATTCATGACTCAGTCAGCGCCCTCTCCCTTGGGAATTTTCATCCCCTGGTGGATCTCATTCCCTACTTTTGCTTATGTTTATTGGTTTTGATCATTAAGTTGACAATTGTTGAGTAATTATTAGCTAATGCTCACCTTCTGGACAGTAAGCTCCGCTATGAGGACACTCAACGGTCATTGCCATTTTCACACTTGGAGGTCAGCAGAGTTCTTGGCACTTATTAGTATGAACAAAATATGTGCTTTGGATGAGAGAAGAGATTGCTGAATTGATGCTGACGCATAGCATATCACACATAAAAGCCCTGAAAATAGGAATTATGGAACACAGGGCAAGAGCATGCAAATGAGAAATGAATGTTGAAAAACAGGTCTGGCCCTTGACATGTGTTTGGGTGAATCCAAGGAATCCTAGTTTTGTGTGGATAGTTTAGATGTTGTAAGGTATTTTCAGTGGAGGAATTATTTGGTCTACTTGCCTTTACAAAAAGATTTTTAAGTGACTATGTGTGAGAACTTTGGAGAACTTTGCCAGGGAGAGGGAGAAGAATAAGAATGCAGGGCTCCCCTCAGACGGCCATGAACAGGACTGAAGTGGGCAAGTTCCTCTGTGATGTCTTACATAGTTCCTTCAACTGCTCTGTGTTTCTTGCAGGTGGATCGCCAACCCCAGTTTATTCAAGGCTACCGAGTGATGTACCGTCAGACTTCAGGCCTGCAAGCTTCAACTTTATGGCAGAATTTAGATGCTAAAGTCCCCACAGAGCGAAGTGCTGTCTTAGTCAATCTGAAAAAGGGGGTGACTTATGAAATTAAAGTCCGCCCGTATTTTAATGAGTTTCAAGGGATGGATAGTGAATTTAAAACAGTTCGTACTACTGAGGAAGGTCAGTATGAGTTTCTCGTGTCAGTGAAACTTGTATCATCATGAAACCATTCTTTTACAGTGTTTGGTTATTCTAAAGAAACAAATCTAAAATAAGAATTGGAATTTATTTTCTTAAATGTTTATCCTAAACCTTATGTTTAAGGGCACTTGAATTTGGCTGCAATATATCCTTGTGTTTAAATGTGGGTCTATCATCTGGCTTCATTGAAAGACAGTCTATAGGAAACTCAGGAACACAGACTTCTCATGGAGGATCACTGTTTAGGGGTAGAACTGGGTCTGACATCTATAAGCCTTTTTTTGTAGGAATTGCCTGTCTAGCCTATAATTTCTCACTTGGAAGGTCATTGCATGCTTCTGATTGATGTTTCTAGCATAGGTCCATAGGTATTCCCTCATTTGGAACATTCTCTTTTTATGGTGAACCTAAGATGCTTGTAGATTCCGACCAGCCTATTAGCCATCAGAAAAATGAAAGGCTTACTAAATATTACCCTCCGAGTAAAATGATGGGATGAAAAGTGAAAAACCAGTCCCTGAGTTCAGCTTTTGTACTAACTCTATGTACGCTTCTGTAAAAGTCTGTCTTCTAAACATATTTTGTGTAAAATGTTACAAGAAACAGCCTTGTGAAAATACAGGTTACTAATATTACCACCAAGGAGCTCTTAAGTTGCAGATTTCCTTTGACATAAGCACAGTAAAAAATTAAGTACACATTTATTTCCAGTGTAATCTGCTAAAACAGACAGGAGGGAATATATTTGAAAATATCTACCTACTTTTAGGATATATAAAGACAAGGAAAATACTAAAATCAGTAATAACTTTTATATACAGTACTAAATTTTACCTTATGCTGCAAATTGGTCCTACTGATAAGTGGGGTGGACGATGCTAATGCAGGGTGTAAGGTTTGAAGCCCTCATCCAAAACTCAGTTTCACTGCAGTAGACTTATACTGCACATATTTGTCACCATTTGGCCGACATCTGTCTCTGATTTCTATGGTCTGGTGAGGGTAACAAATGGGCTAAGTCAGGAGAGCAATGAGCGGTGATTCAAGTTCTTTCACATCCAAAGAAAGAAGCTGAGTAGTCAAATAATTGAGCTGTCGGGGAGCAGGCATGGCGTTCTCACCAAGCCAGCAGTAAGAGAATGAAGAGCCAGTTTCCAAAGTGTTATTTTTCAGTGCAGTCTGCTTAATAGCTAGCAGGCTGGTAGATAAGTGGTCAGGTTTATGTCACTGTGCTGGATTTGAAGTGGTACTGTCACATAGAGGGATGGTAAAGAGCAGAGTGGATTACCAGGTGTCTGTCTGTGTCTTATACCTCAATCCAAATTTGGTCATACCAATGAAATGATCCTGTGACAATTTTACCAAACCCAGAACACCTTATTAAGATGGCTTTAGAATGGTATTTTAGTATATTTGTCTAGACTCTAAATTGTGGCACTATGAAAGCATTGATGTTTTTATATGGAAATCCTTTAATGTTGCACAATTCTTAATTATCTACAAGGATTTTGTGTAGTGTTCTATTTCTCCTATTGGGTTAAATGAAGAGATTGAGAATAGGTGAATTCTGCACATTAGGTACATTAGGTGTTTCCACCTTTTGGAGGCCCAGGATAGGGACCCTGAAGTCTAAATTCAGGAAATGCTTCTCATCCATCGCTGATCATCCATCACTTCTCAGCATGCTTGTAATTAGTTATAGGAGAAACTATAAAGGAAGAGAATGGATGTAAGAAATCAAAATCTCCCATTTCACATTTGACCCAACATGAACCTGTTTTCAATTTTATCAGTAGACTCTATTTCCCAGCCACATAAAATATGTTTTAAATCTTAAATTTATGGATCAGTTTATAATAGTCAATTATTTTTCCCAATTTGGAAAGAAAATCATTGTTTTTCTTTATTGGTAAAATTTAAGGGCTGTGTTTCTGTTTGTTATTTAGTAAACATTACTCAAACAATCCAAAAAAGGCTCCCATTCTAAAAACCAGTCTGTATGCATTTGGGGAAAAATATCTGAAAATATGTCCGGTTGCAAACATTTTTATTTATTCTTCTAGAAACATTAACATATTAGAGGTGAAATAAGATTATAAATTCAAATATATCTGGGTTCAAATTTTATCTTACTATTTGACCTCAATAAATACCTTAGACCCTCATTTATAAATTGAGCTAAGAATTGTTTCCACCTCCTGATATTCTTGTAAAGAATGAAAACTGACAACACAATGCTAAGCATACCAAAATATTCATTAGATTAATAAGCTCTCCATATTATTACTGAGTGTATAGTATTCCCACTTGTTCTATTTGCTCTAAATTATGCATTGAATTTAAAGCTTATTGTTTATGCAAGCTGTCACTGTACAGCATTATGTGCAGATGCAGGAGGAATGGAAGGCGAAACCTCAAAAGTATTGTCTTTGTGTTCATAATTCATAAGTATACACACACCAGAACTTACTGTTTATATTTATCCTATTTACTTCTGCAGCCCCAAGTGCCCCGCCCCAGTCTGTCACTGTGCTCACAGTTGGCAGCCACAACAGCACGAGCATTAGTGTTTCCTGGGACCCTCCACCTCCCGATCACCAAAATGGAATCATTCAGGAATACAAGGTAGGCCCAGCTGAAGAAGGAAGGTCCTCGGATAAGCTGCCTGGAGAAATCGTAGCACCTTTCCAAGGCAAAGCCTGCGTCCATAGGTTCACATGCAAAGTGACAGAACCTACTGCCTGATTGGCAATGGCATGGAGGCGGAGGGAATTAGGACCTAGCACCAAGGTCACAGGCACACAGCTCAGTCAGAAAATTAACGTTAGGACTGGAATGAATTTCAGCACGGTGTGATTGAGAATTTTGAGCGATAGAGGGATCCGCTTAGGGTAGGAAGCAAAGGCTTCCCAGAAACTCACTTCATCTTTATGATAAAGATTTAGGAGGGTGGAAAAGACAGAAGAGGGAAAGAGGGCAGCACCAGCTCGCTCTCTCCCCGCTGCTTTTATCTGTTCCTTGAGGGTTTCAAAACATTTACCTTGGGGCTAAACATGTGCACATTGAAACATATTTGTAAAAGAATAGCCAAAATTGTCTCATTTTTGAACTGATGAAAAAGGTTAAGAATATTCTTGTTAAGAAAAATTATATATCTAATCTTTCATTAGTGCCTTTGATGTTTAAGACTCAAAGTATATCTAGCTCTTCATAATAAAATTGTGCTTACTTGTTTCAGAAACAATACTTATGCATGTATACACATGTATATACATTTTCACCATGAAACTATATAATAAAAATATAGATATAGGTATATAGGAAAATTTTACAACCAAGTTACGGTAACAAATTTCTGTATACCCAAAGAAAACATGCCCTAAAAATTTGATTTATACTCAAAATGCAAGCCTAGCTACTTTAAGATCAGTATCTAAAGACTCCCTAATACTTTGTTTCATATGTGTGTGTATATCAATATTAAGATGTTGAGATTTATTGATATGAGTGTTAACACTGGCTTTAATTTCATTTTAATCAGTACCTGTAACTTAGAATTAATCCATTTAACACTTCTTAATATTTTCTTGAATGCAATATAAATTCCTGAGTTGTGTACCTTTGATGTTAAAAGTCATCATCACAGCATTTATAGTAAATTACATCTAAAGCAAATTTTTTATAAATAAAGCAGTGGAAGGTTTGTGTTTTTAACCTATACAACATAAAATTTGAAACCATGCATAACTTTCCTGAAATGTTGAATGAGTCATTGCAACCTCTAAGTTACTTGGCATAAACAGTGATATAAGATGTGAGTAAACATGACAGAGCTTTAGCTTATACTATTGGTCACTATGAACAAATATAAATTCAATTATAATAGGATAATTCCAAGAAAGATAATTTCATATTATCTGTTTTTTTGTTTTTGTTTTTGTTTTTTATTATCCATAGATCTGGTGTCTTGGAAACGAAACACGATTCCACATCAACAAAACTGTGGATGCGGCCATTCGGTCTGTAGTAATTGGGGGCTTGTTCCCAGGAATTCAGTACCGGGTAGAGGTGGCAGCTAGTACCAGTGCTGGAGTTGGAGTGAAAAGTGAACCACAGCCAATAATAATTGGTGAGTGTCAGACTATGTGGTCTGAACTTGAGTATCTGTCAGACAGCAAGGAAGACTGTAACTCTTAGTGTACTTTTTAACCATGGTCAGATATGTGATTGAAGGAGGACACATTCACATAGGCAAGTAGGCTAACTGACAGGAGTTCTGAAAAATTACTTCACACAATTATTTGTACTTGTATGAGTCCCCAATCTTAAATGTATAACCACTGAGTTAAAAGTGGTTAAAAATTGTTAAAGGATCCATTAATAATTTTGGTTCAATGAAAATATAGGGAAAAGCCAATTATTGAAGATGATAAATTTTGTCTCAAAGCTATTTTTCTCTTAACTAGAAAAATGTCAAAGATTAACCAAAAACAGACTAAGAGAACTTTGTAATTCAAATATACTATATGAAAGAACTTCATATTAAATCTCTTTATAACATTATTCTCTGTCACCATTGAGGATGTTTGTCTGTTCTTGAAAAGTGTATGAATGGAATCATCTAGAACATGATATTTTGTGTCTGGCTTTTCTCACTCAAAGTCATGTTTTTCAGACTGACCCAAATATATCTTACGCAGTTCACAGGACTTGCAACTGAGCAATACTCAATCCTATTCAATATTGTTTTTATGTATCTGCTTTTCTCTATAGAGAATGCACATTCAGGTGTAAGGTTTTCCAGGAATATGTGCTGTCATTTCATTAGAGAAATCCCCAGAAATGGAATTTCTGAGAAATAGGATTGTGTATTTTAACTTTACTTGAAACTTTCAAACTATTGGCAAATTGTAAAATTTGGAACTCCCAGCATCCAGGAAAGGGACTTCCAGTTTCTGTGCACTGTCACCAACACTTGACACTGCCACTCTCTGTTACACAAGGCATTCTAGGAAGATGTACACTATATGCCTTTGTGGTTTTCACTTCAATTTTCTTTTATGACTGATGATGTACAAATTTACCTATGTTAATTTCTTGTCCATTTGCTGTTTCTGTATCTCACATGGCCCAATCTTTAAATTGTATTTATTATTACTGATTAATAGGAATTGCTTATGATGCTGGTTAAAGTTTTTGCTCATCACATACACAAGGGGAGGGAAAGAGAGAGGGAGTTAAGGAGGGAAAGAGGGAGAGAGAGAGGAGGAGAATCATCTTCCAGTTCACAAGTTCTCCATTCCTTTTTTAACAGTGTCTTTTGATGAAAAGTGTTACATTTTAATGAAGTAAAATTCAATAATTTTTCCTTTCCTATTTATTGTTTTCTAAGAAATTGAATTTGATCTCTAGATAGGAAGGAAACTCAATTATTTTTAACTAGAAGGTTTATACTTAAGTTCTATAATTCATCTTTACACAGTTGCATGGAGTTGGAAGGCTGAGACTTCGGTATTCTACATCTTTATCAAATTGAATCGGCACCATTTATTGATTCACAGTAGAACACATATATGGGTCCCTTTCAGGGTTTCTTGTATTTATATTTACATAAGCCAAACTGAATTGTTTTTATTACAATAATTTATAGTGGCTTTTGAAATTGGGTAATATGAAACCTCTATCATTTCTCTAAGAAAAATTGTTTTGGCTAATATAGGCCTTTTTGCCTTCCATGTACTTTTCAAATCAAACTGTCAGTTTCTACAGAAATATGGTCGAATTACAATTGAAAAAGCAGCAAGTCTGCCCATCAAATTGAATAAACACTTTACCAGTGAGTCCCATCCAGGAACATAACACATCTTTCCATTATAGAAGTCTTATTTATCATGACACAATAGTGCTTGTGCTTCTCAGAGTATGATCTTCCATATGTTATGTTGAGATATTTCCTGAGTGTTCAATATGTGTTTTACATGGTACTGAATTGATTTTTGAAATCTCTTTTTTTCTATCATTTTATGCTATACGTTAATTTAATTTTTAATTATTTTCTCTTTGATTTAGCATGGTAAATTCTATTGAATAGCTTCCAAAGGTGACAACTTAGCATGCCTGGCCGAGTTCTACTTGGTCATTAGTATGCTCTTGTAGGCTGTCACTGGACCTGACTTAGAATCATGAATAATTTTGCATTTGTTTTCCTGAAGGATGTTCATCTGTGACTCTTTTCTTTTTCTCTTTTATGCCTTGGTTGGTTTTGGAATGAGGGTGGATGACTTTACAACATAAGTGGGAAGCTTCCTCCTCCTGTATGTTAAGAGTTTTAACTGATGTTGTCTACCTCAAGCCTTTATTAATTCACTGATGGTACCCGTAGTAATGTGTTTTGGTGATTTTAGTCATATGTTAGTGAATTTTTTGTGCATATGAGAAGTATGTGTTTTCTATTTTACAAATGTCAAGTAAAAATAGCTAGTAATGTTTTGTTATATTTTACAAATGTTCAAGTGAAAATAGTTTGTAGTGTTTCTTCAGGTCCTGAAATATTTTGTGTATGATTCCTTTGAATTACTAAAAAAGGAGGCTTGAAATCTGTCATAATTAGGATTTGTAGATTTTCTACAAATGAAACTCTTTTTGTAGGTATGAAATTCTTTTTTGTCTTTCTTTTCATGTGTGTGTGGGGCTGCCTATGTACGCATATTCACAGGTGTGTGTGTTACATGTATTTGCATGTGGAGGTCAGTGCTGGGGGTCTTTCTTGATGATTTTTCCACATTCTTCTTTGAGGCTGATCTCTCAATTAAACCCAGAGTTTCACAATAAAATAGAGTTAATCTCTAGTGATCTGGCCCTAGTATCAAAGTGCAGGAATTATAGGGAGAATGACATGTACACCCAGTATTCAGGCGGTTCTGGGGATCTAAACTCCAGTCTTCCTGCTTGTGCAGCAAGCTCTTTAACTGCTACCCCATCTCTTCAGCCTTTGATCTGTAGCTTCCATTGTATCTATTTTGTTACTGTGACTGATTACATTTTAATAATGTTTCCTCTTGGTGGTAAACTGTCTTCACTGTCTTTATTATATGTTCTTCTTTAATTCATTGTGAGATTTCTTGCCATAAAATTTCCTTTGTCTGACATACTAATATTAGACCATCTGTCTATTTCATGGTTCATTTTTTTTTTAACTTTTTAAGCCAACTCCTGTTTCCCTGTGTGGATTATGTATTCCTTTTATTTAGGTTGCATATGGTTGGGTCTTGTTTTTTATTCAGTATGAAAAACTTTGCTTTAAATTGTAGTGTTCAGAATGTTATTAGTTTTCATGTCATTGTGTCCCTATTTTCTTTTTAAATATTTTATTTATTTTATTTTATGTGTATGAGTGTATTGCCTGCATGTGTGTAAGTGCACCAATGTTCTGCAATGTCTGTGAAGGTCAGAAGAGGGCATCGAATCTCCTGGAACTGGAGTTATGGGCATTTGTTAGCCACCATGTGAGTGCTGGGAATTGAACCTGGGTCCTCTACATGAACAGTCAGTGCCCTTAACTGCTGAGCCATTGCTCCAGCTCCATTGTCCCTATTATTTTCCTCCTTTCTTTGGTACAAATTGAAAAATTTTCAATTTTATATTAAATATATTATTTTTAATTTAATTGTTACTCTGAGACTGGCCTATAAAGATCTCAAAGGAATATAATTCTTCTTCCTTCATCTAAATAATAAGAAAAATATTTTGCTGTTTATATTTATTTAATGTTCTGCTCCAAAAGCTTAATTCCTCAGCCTCTCTGGCTACTCCAGCCTCCTCGGTTCACGAACAGTATTCAGCCATGTTTTAGTATCTTTTCACTGAATCACTTTCTGAGCTTTACCATTGGATAGAAATCTGTGAGAATGGCAAAGTGTTCATGTTTTCTTTCTTTCTCTTGGAGAACCACAATTCCACCTCTCCATTTTTCACATACTTTGCCCAGTCCTCTACATAGTGGCAATAGGATTATGTTCCCATACCTGTTTTTTCTTTATGGGAAGAAGTAGAAATACCCAAAGTATTATCCACTTAATGTTTTTACATTTTCCTGGTCTACAATTGCCATATGCTTTCTTTTATATCTTCCATTCCCCTCTTATATTTTCAGTGTTTCATTAATAATGACTTTAAGTCCCAAACCATATAGTACTAGCTCCTTTAAATTCCTTTTCCTAGGTAGGTGAGATGGCTCACTAGGTAAAGGTGTTTGCTGCCAAGCCTGACAGCCTGAATCTGATCCCTGAGACCCAGCATAGTGAAGGAGGAACTGAATCCACGCAAGCTGTTCTCAGACCTCCACATGTGTACCATGGCATTACCATGCCCCACCCACACAATAAATAAGTAAATAAATAAATGGAATAAAACTGCTAAAAAGAAAATACATAAAATCTCGTATCCTAATTTCACCATCATTTTGTCTCATGGTCTACCTCCATTAACACCTTTATTCTGTTGACCTTGTGTCATATTGTTTTGGATTGTACATTATTTTGCCTGCCCATTTTTGTGTGCCTATGATGGTTTTCTATATGCTGGACTGTGCTGGTGACATACTATAAACATTTGTGATATGCAGAAGAATGCTGGTGTTTGTTCTAATAGGAAGTTTTACTGGATATTTACCGTGAATTTGTCATGTTTTCCTTCTGTACTTGATATTACTATAAAACTGTTTAGATTTTATACTTTTTCTTGGACTTAAACCTCAGTTTGCTGTTTACTTAAGGAAGAGTACTTGTGGGGTTTAAATGAAAACTCTAATATGTATGTCTGATAACCCTAAGTTGTTGGAATTCAAATATCAAGAACTCTCTTCTCTGAACTGAATATAGCTGAACCCTCTTTTGTCTTTCAGCCTGTACTTTTTACCAGATTCTTGAATTCTTCCTCCTCCATGCAAAGTTAAAGGTTCACCCTGAGATTTGCAGATTTGTGAACATTGCTCTCACCTGACTCCCTCTTGCACATGGGTTCCCTTCAGTTTTGTAACGTTCCAGCATTCTTGTGCTCTACACTGTGTCATATGTACCAATGATACTGAGATTCATCAATGTGGTCACTAGCATCCCTGCATTGCACAGA